TATCACTAAGATGAATCCCTTCAAGTGCCTTTTCCATGAAAAGAAACCACATTTTACAGAAATGGCTGATTTCCTGCTGAGGAATGAACCTGGAACATCTCATGTTAGATAGCAAGGAAGTATTAGTCATGTCAAAAACACTTAAGAGACAATTTGAAAAGGCTTCCACTTGGTAAAGATGTTACAATTTGAGCAGCTAAGGGGAAAAATCAAAAATTTAAAAGCATAAGCACATAACATTTTAAAAAAAAACTGACACTTTTTGAGACTGTTAGAAACAACTATTTTGAAAATCAGTTAAGGAAAAGCAGCATTACTTTTCCTTTTCTGTTGAAACTGTGCCCCAAACCAAATAGTATAAAAGGAAAAGCATTCCACTGGAGTATAACTAGAATATCACCAGTATGAGTTAAAAAATAATCAATACTGGGGCTGGAGCAATTGCACAGTAGGGAGGGCATTTGCCTGGCATGTGGCCGACCCAGGTTCGATTCCCAGCAACCCATATGGTCCCCCCAGTGCCGCCAGGAGTAATTCCTGAATGCAGAGCCAGGAGTAACCCCTGAGCATCGCTGGGTGTGACCCAAAAAGAAAAAAGAAAAAAACAAATAATAACCAATACATCAGCTACATGAAGGCCGTTCAAAAGATCTACATTGTAGTAGTAATAGTACTTATCCTATCATTTGGGATGAGGGACATTCAGCACTACTCCTGGGTCAGTGCTTAAGGGTTGCTCCAAGGGGCGCTTAGGGGACCATGTGGTGTTGGGGGATTGAACTCCACCCCCCACCCCCACCGCCCACCCCACCAGTCTCCTGTATGCAATAGTATTACTGCATAACTATTACTCTGGCCCCCATATCAACTGGGGACATTTAATTCAGTCATTTGGAGGTAAATCTTCCCATAACATTCAATCTTCCAAATGTGGAAGCATCATTATATAGTGTTTAAAAAAAGAGATTAGTCTCAAAATTTTTTGTGTGTAGATAAAACCAGTTTAGTCATCTAAGAAATGTTTCTGGAACTAGAGAGAATACAGTGAGTAGGGCACCCGCTGCGCTTTGCCTAACTGCTTTGTAAACTGCCTCCTAACACCATCCCTAGTCTCCTTCAGCATTCTGAGGGAAGTACTCCCAGGTAAAAGCCTTTCAGTGTGCATACAAACTTGTACTAATTACTTCAGGAATTTGGCTTGTCTTTTTTTGAACTTTTGACCACAAGAATTCAGAGCAGGAGATTTCTCCCACATTTTACTTTCCCAGCTATCTAAAAAATCTGTAGTTTTTCTGAAGTGCATAAAAATTAAATCTAAAATTTTTCCATTAGCTCTATGGATTTATTTACATATCTATCTAACTACATATATGTGATTTTGGGCCACAGCTGGTGGTGCTCAAGGCTCTGAGTTCGGAGATCACTCCTGGCAGGGCTCAGGGTATCATATGGGTTGCCAGGGATCAAACCTGGGTCAGCTGCATGAAAGGTAAGTGCCTCAGTTCTTTCTATTTTCAAGCATATACATGAAAAAAAGTCAAAACGGGAGAGAGTAGGGCAGGCTGCTCTGAATACTTCTCTGAGGACACCATCAGAACGCAGGGTTCCTATTCGCTTTTCCTTTCCTGTCATCAGCATCAGAGGGCACACTAGGGGGCCAGAGCGATAGTACAGTGATGAGGGCATTTGCACCTGGCTGAGGTCAAACCACTGCCTGAGCACCACCAGGAGTGATTCCTAAGTGTAGAGCCAAGAGTAACTACTAAGCATTACCAGGTGTGGCCCTCCCACCCTCCACAAAAGGCCATAAATTTTTTGGAAAAAAGGAAAAACTAGTTTCATAACTGAAGAGACAGTAAAGAGGGTAAGGAGCTTGCACTATATGCAACTGACCCAGGTTCAATCCCAGACACCACATAGAGTCCTGGAGCATTGCAGGAGGATCTCTGAGCACAGAACCAGGAATAAACCCTGGGCACCACTGAGTGTGGTCCAAAAACCAAAAATGGAATTTAGGGACTAGCACTGGCTAGTGACGTAGCTCAGGGGTAGAACATTTCCCTTGCCTGTGTGAGGTCCTGGGTCAGGACTCTGGCGTTGACTGTACACCCTTCCCACCCACACACAGCACTGGGTGTGGTCCAATAACAATAACAAAATAAGAAAATGTTTAATCTTGCTAAACTACAATTGGGCAATTGTTCCTCCCATTAGGAACCTTCAATGATTCCTCACCATATAGAAAGGAAAACTACTTGCAATGGCATTCAAGTCTGCCCCCTGGATATGTCAACCCAACTTTCCGGTCCTGAACTAGTACTTCCTACTTGCTATTTCCCAGATACACACATGCCTTGCCCCTTCATTCCCCTGCCTGGAATGACATCTATTTCCTTGATCTTCCACTTTAAACTGCAGTTGTCACTGGGCACTTAGTCTCTCTCTTAGACTCTTTATTACTATTAAGTTCTATTACTATTAGTAAGTTGTACTATTCATTTACAGTGTTAACACAACGTAGAATGCTATAGTTAGTACTTACCTATCATTATCAGAAGCTTAGATAGTAAATACATTTTCTCATATTTTTCATCTAAATTTTTTATCTTCATAAAATTAACCAAGTATATAGTTGAGATAGTGGGTTTAGATATCAGGTTAACAATGACTGTGATAGGGATGATGGACATACTGGGTTCCTAATTCCCAGTCCAAATTACTCTCAAAGGAAAATATTATCTGTGCTTTTAAGACTCATACTCTTACCCCACAGCAGAAGATAAAATGTAATGTTTCTAATTCTTGTGGGATACTTACAAAACCACAAAACAGTGATCTATTAGAAGTCTTTGCAACACAAAAATACCAAGCTGGAAAGATTCACACATTACAACAAAGGCAGCAACACTTGACTCACTCCAGTTTCCATAAATCTTACGCTGCTTCTAGACCCTTCTTTCCCTTCAAGCAGGAATCTCATGTAACAACAGTCTTCACAACTAAGTAATAATGACCCACAAAGAAAGGTAGTTTTTAATGCTTCAGTGCTGCTTTATTTCTCCTTTTAAAGTACTTGGATAGTGTATCTGAGAGTACAATAGGAAAGGAGGGAACTGTAATTATCAATGAAATGACTGAAAGCTCTGAGCCTTCCTTCCCTACTGGTACAGGTTCCTTTAGGCGTTCTACTACTAAACAAACATGCCGAGTTTGGATCACTAAATCTTAAACCAGAGACATCAAATTTCACAGAAACAACACTCCTTTGCTATAAACAGAAACTTAGTCTGGAAAGTTCATTTCCTAGGTGCTTATATAGCATATAGAATCTAGGCTACCTGTTCCCAAAGAAATGTTTCAACCCACCAAATGAAGATATAACTTATCTTAAAGAGATTCAAAGAATTAAATTAGATCCCCCCTTTTTTTGGGGTCACACCTAGAAATACCCAAGGGCTCACTCAAGACAGGAGGGAGAATATCACTCTTAGTAGTGTTTTGGGAGATGATGCCACATGGAGAGAGAACTTAGGCCTCCTGCAAAAATTCACCCACTTTTTAGCCACATAGCAAAAGCTAGAACTAAAGAAGCTAGGAGTAAACAACTAAGAAGTTGTTTCTTTTCTATCCTTAGACACACTTCTGTTATGTTATACCTTAATCTTAATGAACACTGGAAAAACATATTCCAAGAATAAAAATTTAAGGGAAAACGTAGTTCTATGCTGCATAATGATACCAGGGATTTTAATATGAGTGCTACTACAGCATCCCTGCAGGAAACTAAATTTACGCCAGTGACCCTCGGGTCAAGCGATCTAAGCCCCATTAGCCATTACCAATTCCCCAAGCTGGCTGGCGAGAAGAGAGGGCGGAACTCACTGTCAAACGACAATGAGTATTTCAAGGGCAAGCTTTTTAATTTAAAAGACAACAACAAACTTGGCATGAGCAAATGTTCGAGAACCGTCTGGGCCTCTTACTCCTCTGCTCGACTTCAAGTTAGTTTGCTCGTACACAATTTTTGCAGGTATCACGCCCTTGGAACTACTCGGATAGCAGCAGCAGGTAAACTATGTACTCCGAGAGACACTTCTCTGGGAAAAGTGTCATAAATACGCTGTTCTGGAATGTACAACTGGTGGGGGGGAGAGGGAGTGACCTAGCAACCACTTTCAAAGTTTCACTGGCTCTCCTCGACCATCCGCCCCACGAGACCCAAATGTCAAACTAACGGGCTTTTCCACCGACAAGATCACGCGGCTGATCACACCGAGTGACCCAGTGAATCACCCGACTTCAAACGGTCCACACAGCAGGCAGACACACTACGCCGACTGCGAGACACTGTCCAGAAACGCGAAGAGCACTGCTGAACCTCGTCCTACCAAAATGATCCGGAGAGCGCGGTGGCAAGGGCTGCAGGAGCCCATCCCGAGCGGCCGTCGGCCGGTGGGGCGCCAAGCGCCTGGAAGTTACGAGAACAGGGAGGCACCCTCTCTCTTCAGGGCCGCCGCACAGGCTCCCCGGGAACGTCCTTGCCGAACGCTTCCTTCCCCGACGCCAAAACGCCGCCAGGTGATTCGGCTTGGCTGTTCCCCGAAATGAATGGGGTGGGGGGGGGGGAAGGGGGCTCGCGGAAGCCCGGGCACGGCTTCCACTGGGAAGATGGGTTCCCACCGGCCGGATCGGACCTGCCGCGCCACGGGCGCCGAGAGGAGGCCAGCGAGGGGGTGAGGGCGGCAAGAGGCGAGACCGAGCGGGGCGAGGGGCTTCCTGCTCGTCCCCGGCCTCGGGGAGGACACTCGAGCCGCCCGATCACGCCCAACGCCCCGGCAACCCGGGGAACCGAGACGCTCGAACTCGAAACCAAGGTTCCAGGGGGGCGGGGGGTGTAACCGAGAGGCCGGGCGGGTGGTGACAAATTTCCGTGGCCCCCAGAGCGGAGCTCCGGTGCCGGCGGGTCGGGCCAGCCGCAGCCCCGGCCCGCTGCGGCTCACCTTTGAAGAAGCGCAGCGCCAGGCCGTAGAGCTCCTCCAGGCCGAAGCCCCAGCGCTGCTGCAGCCGCCGCGCCTCCTCCGCCGCGCCCCCCGCCGCCGCCTCCCCGGGCTCCGGTTGCTCCCCTCCGGCGCCCGGGCCCCGGCCGGCCCCAGGAGGCGAAGGCGGCGGCAGCGGCGGCGGCAGCAGCGGGGCGCCTTCCGCGCCGGGCCGCTCCTCCGGGTCTGGGCTCAGCGTGAGGCCATCGACGGAAACCTCCAGTCGCTCCGCGTTCAGCACCGCCGCCATCTCCGGCTGCTGTGCCTCCTCAGCGGGGACAGGAGGCGGCCACGTATCGACTTCCTGCTGACCTCTGACCTCCGCTCACCCCCACCGGAACTTCCGGCGCCGCGGAGGCGCGCGGGGGAAAGGGCTGAGGGCACCGCCCCTCGGCGACCACCTGCCACGCCCCCGCCTGCCCCCAGCGCGTTTCCTCCCAGCGCGTGCCTAACCGCGGCGTCCTTCTTTGCCGCCGGTTCGGTTCGGGTTTCGGTGTCCCCCGGAGCGGGGACGTGTAGCCGGGGCTGGGTCTGGCGAGCGCGCCCCGCTCCAGGTTGGCCACTGCCCACCAGATTTTTTCCTTAACTCTCCCGGCGGCGGCAGCGTGAGAAACTCAGGGCAAGTGCCTTTTTCTGTAAGAGGAAGTGAAGATGCCGAGAAATTCAGTGGCTTCTTTCCAAGTGATTGGATAGGGACGGGATAGGGTTTTGCCAGAATTGAGGCTCGTTCAATGGATTGAAACCCTAAGAAAAAGTGTTTCCAAGCAGGAAGGTAGGAGAGTGATACCTGATTGCAGACAGAAAGGTGACATTTTTTTAAATAAACCAGCTCTACAAACTTCACACACCTAATCATAAAATTTTAATTGTCTGGCACTTATTCAAACTGTCCAAAAGTCCAGAAACTTTGTTTGATTTGGAGGCATACACAGCAGCGTACCAGGCTCTGTGGACCTCGCATGAGTTGGGAGATAACCCGACTTCCTACATGCAAAACCCTCTGAGCTATCTTGCTAGGCCCCCCAAACTTTGATTATTCATTTTTGCCATACCCGGCTATGCTACTATCAGTAGATTTGTGAAGCTCAATTAGGGTGAAGGCAATCTTGATTGTCATGTTAAAACAAACCAATATAGGCTGATTTTCTTTGAAGAAATTATAATTATCATAGGAAAGGTCAACACAGACCAAGAAACAGGGGAACCAGTAATAATCAAAATGGAACTCATAGAGTCTAGAAACACAGGTGAGTAGCAATGCAAATCTCCTAATTGTAGTTTATTTATTTAGGATCCTTGCCAACTTTTTGAAAACCTGCATCAAATTTTCCTCACTTATGAGCTATCCTATTTTAATAGAGCAGGTTGATGATATCAATGGCAACTTGATGTCTGATTTTTTTCTGGATCCCCAGTGTTTTGTATGCTAAAATAGAATTACACAGGCAGTACTCACTGTAATACAACTATAAGTTTGTTTCCTGTAAACACAGAAATTTTTTTTTTCTTTTTGGGTCACACCCGGCGATGTACAGGGTTACTCCTGGTTCTGCACTCAGAATTACTCCTGGCAGTGCTCAGGGGACCATAAGGGAATGCTGGGAATCGAACCCGGGTCAGCTGTGTGCAAGGCAAATGCCCTACCTGCTATGCTATCTCTCCAGCCCCAAACACAGGAATTCTTAATACGTTTCATTTATACACTGACCCACGTTGGATCCTGGCACTGACCAGCCCCTGTCAGGAATGATCCTGAGTACAGAGCCAGCTGTAAGTGCCAGCACAGCTGACTCAAAAAGCACAAGAAAATCAACATAGCTAGAGCTGGCCCTGTGTAAGCTTACGTTGGTTTGATCCTTGGCATCCCATATGATCCTGTAAGCACTGCCAGGAATAATTCCTGAATGCAGAGACAAAAGTAGCACCTGAGCATCACTGGGTGTAACCAAAAAACAAAACCAAGAAGCAACCAACATAGCAAGTCTGCCCCTCACTGTTCTCTCTACCTCCCTAAGACTTTCAATAGATATTTGTTATAAGGCATTTGTCACATAGAACCTGATTTCTATGCACAACAGGTCATAGGAACTACCAGTTTTTCCATACTTGTCTTTTATATGTAAGGAGGTCCACCTGGTTACCAAAAAGGACTGTTTTCAGGGACAGATTGGTAGCTCATGCTAGGCATCCTTGCAGGCCCAGATACTATCCCCAGCACTGCATGGTCCCCCCACATCAGCACCTCTAGGAGCCACCCCCAGAGCACACAGGGCTAGGAGTAGCCCCCAGCACCCAACAGAGTGTGGTCCCAATCTACACTAATAGGATTTTGTTTTGTTTTGGGACCACACCAGCTGTACTCAGGATTTATTCCTGGCTCTGCTCAGGAATCATTCCTGGTAGTGTATGGGGGACCATATGGGGTGCTGAAGATGGAAACCCTGGTCAGCTGCATGCAAGGCAAAAACCTTACTTGCTGTATTGTCTCTCCAGCTCCAGAACTATTTTGTTTCAATTTTTTTTGAGGGGCTGGAGGAATAGCATCAGTGGGTAGGACGTTTTTGCCTTGTACCCAGCTGACCCAGGTTCAATTCCCAGCATCTCATGGTCCCCTGAGCACTGCCAGAAGTAATTCCTGAGTACAGAGCCAGGAGTAACCCCTGTGCATCACTGGGTGTGACCCCAAAAGAAAACAAAACAAAATAATGAAATATTTTTGGGGGGGAGCCACACCCAGAAGTGCTCAGGGCTTCTGGCTCTGTGCTCAGGGATCACTCTGTGCGGGCTTGGGGATCATATGGGATGCCAAGGATTAAACCTGGGTTGGGAGTGGAGCGATAGCACAGCAGGTAGGGCATTTGCCTTGCACACGGCTGGCCCAGGTTTGATTCCCAGCATCCCATGTGGTCCACCGAACAACACCAGGAGTAATTCCTGAGTGCAGAGTCAGGAGTAACCCCTGTACATTGCTGGTTGTGATCCAAAAAGAAGAAACAAACAAACAAAAAACCTGGGTTGACTACCTACAAATGCCCTGCATGCTATACTATCCTTCCGGCCCCCTCAGAAGTATTTTCTAAAACATTACAAATACCTTCCCCAAGTCCTGCACAAAGTTCCTATACAAAATAAGCAACTTTCAAACAAATTTACGGTATAAATTTCTGTTAAGCTTTCCTTCATTTGCTCATTAACCAGATGAAGGAGTTTTATCATTTCTGAAGTGCTTTCTGGATTCCTTCCCTAAAACCAAATTTTCGCTTTGTACTCGCAACTTATCCTCACCTATTCTTTGATATCCATATTACTAGACAGAAACTGAGTTTAATTACTTTATCTGGGAAATTAATCCGTACTTGATAAAACAGTGTAGGTAATCTTTTGTAGTGCACTTCTATGGTGATTATCACTCTGTGCTCTTTGACTGCAAGTATCTGGAGAGCAAAGTTCATGCCCTTAGACTCCCTGGCTTCCTATCCAAGGATGGGAAGCCTGCTAGGTTCTTGGAGTAATTTATTGAGTGAATAAATAAAGGTATAATTCTAGCCAGTATATGCAGTATCAGTTCAGCTCAGTGTACATTTTAGGAGTGAGTCCCTTCCAGGTATTGTTGAAATGGAAAACTTGGTAGCTAATGCTAAGGAGGATGGTACAGGAAGTGAGAACAAGTGAGAAACACCATCACAGGCCAGCCTGCCAATGCTGGAACAACCCACTCAGTGACTGGGGGCAGGTTCTTAACTCCCATCTCGTCCACACGGCAAAGCCTGGCAAGCTCCCCCTGACATATTCGATATGCCAAACACAGTAACAAGTCTCACAATGTTACTGGACCTGCTCGAGCAAATCGATTTACTCCTTTGTTAAATGAATAATAGTAGTATCCCTCTCTTAGGTTGCTCTAAAGACTGGATTCCTGAATACATGTAAAGCACTTTGAAAAGAACCTGCCTGACCCAGAGTGAGCTTGGAATTAAAATTTGCCCATGCCTGTATATAATGTTCCATTCAAAGGAAGAGAATCATCTCGCCAGGCCCCAATGGTGCTTTATGTATTTATTTTTGGTTTGGAGGCACACCCAGAAGGGCTCTGACCTTACTCCTGGCTCTGCACTCAGATATCACTCCTGGTGGTGTTCAGGGAACCATATAGGGTACAGGGATTGAACCTGGGTCGGCCGTATGCAAGGCAAGTGCCTTACTCACTGTACAATCTCCCTGGTTTTCTCATAGTGCTTTAAATTTGAATTGAATTTAAATTGCTTTAATTTTTTTTTTTTTTTGCTTTTTGGGTCACTCACACTGGCAATGCACAGGGGTTACTCCTGGCTCTGCCCTCAGAAATTACCCCTGGCGGTGCTCAGGGGACCATATGGGATGCTGGGAATCGAACCTGGCTTGGCCGCATGCAAGGCAAATGCCCTACCCGCTGTGCTATTGCTCCAGCCCCAAAAGTGCTTTAATTTAATTTAAATTAAAGTGCTTTAAATTTGAATGGTGCAATAGGGGAAACCTAGGGGAAACCTGGGTCACATAGCCCAGGTGAAGACAATGAGGCCATGAAAGGAGTAGCTGAGGAAGATGTGGGAGGAGATGAAGGCCCAACCAAAGAGGGTGCCACAGAACCCAGACGGCCAGCCAGAACAGAGGGCAAGGCATTGCATCTGCTGCTTTCAAGAGACTGTGGTGCTAGACCACTCTCTGAGAATCTTTACCTATAAAAAGGTAGAAATTGTAGGGACCAGAGAGATAGTCCAGAGGGTAGGGTGCTTGCCTTGCTGTGGTGCACCCAGGTTCAATCTCCAGCAGCACATGTGGCCCTCCAAATCCTCCAGGAGTGATCTCTGAACACAGAATTAGGAGTCAGACCTGAGCACGACCAGGTGTGGCACAGAGAGAGAGGTGGGGGGGGGGGGAGAGGGAGAGGGAAAGGGAAGGAAGGAGAAAGAGAGGGAAAGATGGAGGGAGGGAGGAGGGAGGGGGAGAGACCGAATGGAGGGGGAGGGAGAGAGAGACAGAGACAGAGAGAGACAGATTGATTTTACCCAGGTTCCATCTATCTTGGGGTTGAGAATGTGACTCAGTGGTAGAACGTATGGCTTACACGTGTGAGGTCCTGGGCTCAATCCTGGCACACGTAAAAAAGAAAAAAAACTTATCTCTGTGAAAGTGATTTAGGAATTATAAAATACTGTGAATAGATAAGATATGATTCATATTACTGCTCTTACCATGTCTCTCGAGCGCTGATGTCATCAAAAACACTTTAAGAGTATTCATCTATTATGAACTTATGTGTATCTTTTTCAGGTT